GGGAAAGCACTACGTATTTTGTATTCTTCATTGATTTTACCATACTTGGAGTATGCCGTTGAAAACTGGGGAAACACATACAAAAGCTCACTTCAACCATTGTATATATTCACAAAAAAGAGCGATAAGAATTGTGCATAAGCTGGGATACAGGGATCACACCAATGGAGCTTTCATACAGTCTAAATTGTTAAAATTTTTGGATACAGTGGGATATAAGACTGCTGTGTTTATGTATAAAGCCAGGAACAATTTATTACGTGGGGGAATTCAAAAACTATTTAATGAAAGGGAAGGGGGATATAATTTAAGGGGTCAGTTAAATTTAAAAATTCATGCTATACGTACAACCAAAAAAAGATTTTGTATTTCCATAAGTGGAGTAAAACTATGGAATAATTTAAGTGTGGACATAAAAAACAGTAAGAAAATTGATGTTTAAACATAGATATAAAGGTATGTGTCAATCAAGATATGGGCAAGAACAGGCTCAATGATTAATCAAATGGGAGTGTGGATGTAGAATATGTGTCCATGTAGAGATACTGCTTGCAAACCATTGATGATAAGATGATGTTAGGGGGTAGGACTAGATAAGTCTAACTTCTTCCTACTCCGTTCAAGCATGTACTAGTTATAAGCAAATTGAAAATATATTTGTGGATATGTCTGGAATTATGTGTGGTTACATATTGGCTGTTGTTACATGTTTGAAAGAATAAATAAATCAAATCAAATCAACATTACTTAAATATAACTGAAATAAAAGTGAACAAAAGCAGGTATTTATGCAAATGCATTCTAAATAAAATTACTAAGAAAGAGTGAGTAAGATTTAGTACTAGTAACAGAAAATTTCAAGTAAAGTTTACTTGAATACATCTATAGAAACTATTCTGTGTCTAAGTACAATTTACTTGGGATTATCCCATGTAAAATTTACTTCGAATTTCTGTGTGGAAAAAGTTGCCTAGGTTTTTTCAAGTAAATTTCACTCTCAATTTTTTGCAGAGGGTGATGAGTTACAGGGGAAGTGTTGCTGGTGCGTATAATACGGCCACGTTGTGGAAAGCTGACATGAGTGGCCTCATTCACTTTTTCCCCTGGGGGTTTCCATTGTGTTTTGGTTAGCCATGCTGCTAACATAGCCTGCTTTACCTTAGCACCAATTCAACCACCAGTGTGTCGGCATTGGTAGGTGAAAATAAAAAACACAGTTTAACATCCAGCGCAAACAATACATGTGAAATCATATAGGAGAGAAGCCAGTCAGTGGAGTTTGTGGCAAAACCTTTTACAATGCTTGCATATTGTCTTTTACTGCAAAGAATAAATCAAATCAAATCAAATGATCATTCATGCTCAGAAAGGAGAACAGAAGTGACATTCATTACAAGATAGTTAAAACATTTCAAACTGCACCCGCTTTGTTCTGCATCATTGACGAGTTCTTAAAAATTGTGTTAAGATGTCGTCTCGTCTTGTTCTCCTGAACTCAGTATCCCATATCATCTCGTCTCGTGAGCTAAGTGTATCATCACACCCCTACTGAGTAATGTACAGCCGATGGCGTGGTCGGTATATGACATTATTAACTCAGTCATTCTTGACTCTCACTCTAAAACTATATTTTCCACTCTTGTTATCACAGCCACTTGTGTCCTCAAACATGACACTCAGTGAAATCCAAGCGAAAACTTCAGAGGGCCCGCAGTAAAAAGACTCGGCACTGGGATGATTTAGACCTTCTTTGGATTTGTGCCAGAACAGCATGCATTAACATATGAGAAAGAAGCACTCACTTAAAGAGGCAGCGAGTGAAGACATGGGAACTCAGACCCAAATACAAGTTTTTTTTCTGTCTGAAGCAATTTAGCGAATGCAATTTTCAGCTTGATGCCAGAGCAGCAGGCATGGTAGATGACAGTTTGCACAGTTGTCAGTTTGCATCTTGTAATGTGCTACCACAGCAGCAAGCATTCACATATTTTATGTGCTCTATCCTGCTGCAATTTCAACACTCAGGATGACAAAATATTCCACAAACATCAGGAATGTACAGGTCTTAGACGTTAATGCGTCTCCTCATTCAGCAGGGTGCTGTCAACCTGTTCTGAAAGTCTGACTGACTAAGCCCATCTGGAACCTGTCTTGATTAATTCCTGTCTATAAAATGACACCCAACTGGCTTCAGCATGCTTCAAAGAATATTGTCAGATCATCTTACTGAACCTGTATGTAAGGTACTTCTGAGAAATGTCATGCTAAAGACTTTTTTGAATGGGCTGGCTGTTGCTCAGCATGTGTAATGATTCATTTACTGACTGCAGGGTTGGCAGTTGGATTCCAAGTGTCTTGAGTTTTACTCACTGAACACTGTCCAAAAGTGTGCACTGTTTACCCCATTTATACTGTTTATTGCCTCTCAGGCTTTCAACCACGCATTTTGGAGCAGGCATAAATACTTTTGCAATTTAAGTGGGTTGACATTTGTACAGTTTAGTTTGTTTTAAGCTAACTGAATCCTTAATGTACTATTAAAACACCAAAATCAAAATATGCATATTTTTCAAACAATTTAGACACTAAGTAGCTGAGAATTTGGAGGCAACCACATTTGCTTCACTGCTTGTGTGAGCTACAGAAAGCCCTTGTCTCTGTCACTGTGCAAAACAACATTTTGGCCCTAATCACACTCATTTATAGGGGTGGCCTGCTTTTGAGAAGTGTCTGAGGATTTTATCTTGTGCATTTAATCACATGCTTTTACTTCACAACCCCGATCCTTTTCTACCTCTCAGTCCTGCCCAAATAAAAAGGATGGCTCATTTTCAAGGAGTGCCTTGTGGCTTATCAGAGGTGATATGCTGTCTTCACTTCCCCCCAGGCCTGTAAACTGAATGCATTAGTAATGAATCACTCTGCAACCATACCCAAGTGGACAACAATTTGTGTCCATCGCTATCAGTTAACTCTGTCTCTTTCACCACCCTTATGTGAGACCTAAGGGATTTCTGGAAGAAACCAATGTACAACTAAAACTAGGGGGGAGCCAGCATGTACATCATTGTCAGTGAGAGCTATCTCAATTCCATATGTGCGTCAGATATGCAGCATAACCCTGCCCATCAGCATTACTGTAGTTTATTAGGGTTGCACCTTAGCTGACAGCTGAACAATTGCCTTTTACTTCGGCTGTTGCCCAGTATTGTCATTTTCATGCTCTAAGCTCTTCCCTGTCATTTTCCCCTTGCCTGATTGCTTCTGAGATACTGACAGTTACACACAGACCGAGGAATATGAAAAAAGGCTCACTGCAGTGCACTCCTTCATTGGAGCTGTCATACTTCATTGGAATGAAAAGCCATTGGGAAGTGTAAGAAGATGAACCACAAAAGAATAAGGAGGGGAAAAAAATGTGCAAATGAGCCAAATGATGGGTTTGAGCATTGATCATCATCCATTTGACACACAGGAAAGGCAACAAGCGGTGGTGATAAAAGAGACATGAAAAGTGACAAATGTGGTTGGAGTGTAAACTTTAATGGCCCAACCTTGGATGGGAGCAATTTGCCAATATTTAATTAACTGTAATGCGATCCATCAGAGTGTTAAAGGACGGAGCTCTTCTGGCGGGGCACTCTGCCAGTCGCACTCACCCTGTAGTTCATGTAGCCTTGAGAAAGCTGCAAGGAAACACAGCGATCGACAAAAGTGACTCTGGGTTGCGTCTGGAGGATCCTAGTGTCACTGCGCTGACAACAGCAGTATGTTTTCCTTGTAAATCATCCTTTTGTAGATGTTTTGCCATTCAGTTTGGCTTCAAGCTTGCATCACACAAGGGTATGGTTTGTTTTTGGTCATGATTTGTATATTTGTGAGATTATGTATGTATTTTGTTTTTTTGTTTCTCAGGTTTGACAAGGTGTTTTTTTATTTTTATAATACAGAAGTCAACCCTTTATTTGTCCCTGTTTTTGCCTTGGATGTATTATAAAAGAGAGGAAGAAAACAAATACAAGCAAAATGTTTTTAAGAAGGATTAGTGCTCTGTTCCACATTTGGAGCTGGATTTGTGTAGTCCATCTAGATATCCTGCTGCCCCAGATTTTAAAAGTCTTATTCTTTTTACTCTCCCTTTCTTTTAGCTGAACCTGGATAATTCCTGGCTGTGCACAAGCTAGATGCATAAACTGCAATCCAAATGTATTTGTTGAAGCAAACGGTATCTTGGTTATCATTAATTTTAGTTCTGCCAGTTTCCTAAGGTGGAATTGATAATTCACAGTATACAAATGCATGATATCTATGTATATTGTTCTAACCCCAGCTTGCGTAGATTTTAAATAGGTCTAAATGGGATATGGAGATCAAATTCAGATATATCAAGATCTTTGAGTGCTCTATATATTTTTGTCAGAGCCTCTGCAAAATCAAATAAAATGTCCCCAGGATAAAATATAAAATAAAGAAATGAAGCTGTGGTTTATTTATACCTAAAACAAAAGTAACATTATGAATGTAAAGATCACTTCAGGGCCACAACTCGGCAGGGCTTGACCGAAGATGCCATTTCTGTGGCCTGCAATGAATTGTAATGAATCCTGAATACACATTTCACAGCGTCTATTTTTCACATAATGAATCAACATATTTTCAGAAACAAACGTACATACACTCATACATATTTTGTTTCCCTATCTGTACAAGGTCAGTGATAGTTTGCTATGCATGCATTCTCTTGACATTTAAAGCAGCCTCTTTTCTGGCTGCTCAGTTAACAATTAGATAAATTAATAAATCAATTCAAATCCCAGCCTTTTTTTTTTTTCACAAAGATCCCAGTGATGCCCAGCATGCTGTCTGTCAAATATATGTTCTATCAATAGAAAAGCACCTAAAACTGTTGAGGAAGATAAACAACAGTGAGGCTAACTGAAAATGAAGTGCAAATTGAAGGCATATATTATCCCAACACCAATTTTCTTCTTGACCTTTATAACTCACCACCAAAAAATAGAAGCCTCTATGCTTTCTTTTCAGTTGACTTTCCAGTTTGTCAGAGACGAGCAGAAAGACTGTGAGGTGAGAAGCCTCTGACACAAAATATTATATACATATATATGAATTGGCTAATAAAAGCTTGGCTGATTAAATTAAGAAGGTAATTGGATTCCTGACTGCATAATAAAATAAAGCAGGATTGGGTATAATGAAATTGTCTGCTTAAGATTTAGCTCCTCCGCTGCTTTTTTCTTCCCTGTTAGAGTTGAAAGCCAGAAGAGGGTTATAGCGACAGGCAGAATTAGAAAGCAGGAACAACATAGGGAGGTCATAAAATGGAGTAAGACACGTTGGTTTGTCTGCCATTGAGTGCTCAGGCTCCCAAGTAGCATTTCGCTAAGGCTTCATCTTACAAATTTGTAAGGATAGAATCATCAAGTTCAGTGACCAAACAAAAGTAAAGAAGGGCTTGGAAATAAAATGTGCATGGACTTGTAATTTTATCATAGTAGCCCTCTTAATAAATCACAAGACAACAATTCTCTTGTAAAAGACAAAAGGATTTCTGTTTTTTTGTCAGTGTTTTCCAGTGCGAGTGTCAGCCCACAGGAAAAGTAAAGGTGAACCAAACACCTTACAAAATAAGGTACAGTGTATTATGTGAATGCAGAAGATCTACATAGCTGATATTTATTGCCTAGGCTCTGATGTTGTCACACTGAGCTGAGCAGAGCAAGGATTGGGAGGCGGACAGGGAAGACTCAGGAGACTCAGAGCCCTCGGGTACAAGCTGGTGTCAAAATAGAACTTGTGAATTGCTGTATGTGCAGCGAACACATTGGAGTGGCAGAATGTGTGACAAGTGAATACAGCTGTTACTGCATAGCTTTCAGGTAAACAGTGCAACAGCAGGGATGGAAGAGAAACAGACTGTTACAAGAACTGGGATATGTTATGTACTGTAGGAGGAGCAGCAGCCTTGAGTTATGTCCTCAACTATAATGTGCCAGTAGGAGAGAGCGCGGGTGTGTGTGTGGTTATCTATGTGTGCCAGCCCTGTGATAGCCTGGCGGCCTGTCCAGGGTGCACCCTGCTTCTCGCCCAGTCTCAACCCCTCATCAGGATAAGCGATATAGATAATGGATGGATTGACAGTTGCAGTAATGCAATTTAATAATAACCTACTGAGTTCTGACTATGAAACTCAGTTTAGGACCTTGTTTTTGAAACTGTTTTCACCTGATTGTTTTCTACCTTTTTCATGCCCTGAAGGAACTTTGGTTTTTGTGGTTTGTGCTCTTTAAACATCTCACAGTGGATGCCTCAGGTCACAGTATCCCAGTGCAGCAGCCGCTTTATCTTGTCAAGGGCACTTCCAGGGTAGCTAACCTCCAGGCCTGACTATCACTCCTTCAGCTTTAATGAATCAATAACCTGTACACACACAACACACAGTCACACACACAATTACGTGCACATATACACACCTCAACCACAAAACCACCAAAATATGTGATTCATCGACAATTTATTACATGAGAGAATGTCTTAATTACGCAGGGTTAATCGATAACTTCCTCTTAGCAATGGCTCAAAAGCATGTACTGTATGTGTGCAGTTTCTTGTCTGTGGCTGTCCACAACTTTGTGTGTGTGTGTGTGTGTGTGTGAAGTTCTTTAGGGATAAGTACAGTCTGCACCTGCACCTGCATGATGGATGATGTGAGTGTTTTTGCCATCAGCAGTCTTTTACAGGCTGTGAGTGGTCGTCTCTAGGAGCTGACCCTGTGACAGGCAACCTGGAGCTGAGCCAGCTGCTGGCAGGCCTGGACACAGCTGGACTAACGATGGCTAGAGCTGTCAGAAGAGTGCCTGCAGTACTAATGATAAAACCACCTTCTTCTCGTGCACTGTAGACTATAAAAGGCATTGGTGCCATAGTGTGTCAAAATAACAAATGTTAGGGTCTGGGTATCTGTCAGACTTGAAGTTTTACTGTAGGAAGACAAAGGTTTAGAATTTGGACTGAGAGTTTATACAGTGGATTGGGTCAGTGTTGGACCAAGATGGGTTCTGATGCAGTAGCTGACAGTTTGGACTGAATCTCAGTGAACTAATCTCTGAAGTGAACAAGGAGTTCTGAGTCTTTGTCACCAGAGTCATTCATTTGGCTTCCAGTTTTTAAATGGCATAGTGCTCTAACTGTGGATTCATAAAGCAGCAGAGTGAGCAGCTGTGCAAGCAGCAAGCTGTCTTACTAAACAGCCAATCAGACTGCAGCATGATTGTTAGTGTCATGAGGAGAAGGAGGGAGCCAAAGAGCAGAATGTCATTTGCAGAGATAAGCTCACGAACGTCAAAAATGAGGGAGCCAAAGTACCCGTATCTATGAGCCCAACAGTGAACAAGAGAGCTGGAGAAGAGAAGGATGGGATTTGGAGACAGAGAGTGGAGAAGGATGTGCAGTAGTGTGCAGAGGAAGGCGTCACCTGGCCTTTACCTGGACCAGCGTCCTGTTCTGGTTGTCAGTCTAAT